TCACAAAATTCAATTTCAAATGTATAAAATACACTAGGTTTATACAAAATGGAAATACTCTGTAGGTCAGAGAAACTATTTTGGATTTCGAGTTAAAATAGCGTCGAGTGCGAAGGGTTAAAATCGATCGGATTTTTCCAAAATTTTGGGAACCGTCGTTCCTCGAAAAGAATGCGGTTTCTGCGACAGTTTATTACGTTGTAATTTTACTTAAATATTGCTAACACTTAATACTAAAAGTATTCGATCACCTTTTAAAACGCGATAACTTTTTTCACACTGGTCCAGTCGACTTGAATCTCTTGTTAAGTGTTCAAGCGTCTTGACTGTTTCAATTCTGCTATTGCATAAAATGAAACAACACAAAGATAAAGAACGCTCGTTTTTAAACTGTTTTATCTGAACCTGGAACGAAAATTTAAATAACGCGTCTACGAAACACATTTTTTAAATTTTCGTTTCAGGCTCAAATTAAAAAGGTTGGAAAACGAGTACTTCTTACCTTCTATTGTCATTTTATGTAACAGCAAAATTTAAAAAATGCTGATTATTGTACCGTAAACTGAAAAAAAAGATCCAAGTCAATTAGACCAGATTGAAAAAAGTGATCGCATTTTGAAAAGTGGACGAATAAATTTTTCCAGAGATTGTACGATATCGTGGATACTTTCGCGTCTCTCAGAAAATCTTCACCAGAGTGCAAGATGAAATTGCATCAGCCTATTGAAACCGTTCATGCAATGACATTCTATTTTATTTCGTATTAAAAATCCTGTTTCGCCGTAAAGTCACGAATTTACATAGAAAAAACGTCTATCGCGCACGTAAGAGCGAAACCAAAAGCGTCAACAACGCTGAAAACAATTGGATTACAGCGATGGCCAGAACGAACCGTAATTGCATTTTGAAAGACTGAATAATTTTTGCCAGAAATTGTACAACGATATCGTGGATAATTACGCGTCTCTCAGAAAATCTTCACCAGAGTGCAAGATGAAATTGCATCAGCCTATTGAAACCGTTCATGCAATGACATTCTATTTTATTTCGTATTAAAAATCCTGTTTCGCCGTAAAGTCACGAATTTACATAGAAAAAACGTCTATCGCGCACGTAAGAGCGAAACCAAAAGCGTCAACAACGCTGAAAACAATTGGATTACAGCGATGGCCAGAACGAACCGTAATTGCATTTTGAAAGACTGAATAATTTTTGCCAGAAATTGTACAACGATATCGTGGATAATTACGCGTCTCTCAGAAAATCTTCAGCAGAGTGCAAGATGAAATTGCATCAGCCTATTGAAACCGTTCATGCAACAACATTCTATTTTATTTCGTATTAAAAATCCCGTTTCGCCGTAAAGTCACGAATTTACATAGAAAAAACGTCTATCGCGCACGTAAGAGCGAAACCAAAAGCGTCAACAACGCTGAAAACAATTGGATTACACCAATGGCCAGAACGAACCGAAAAGCCCCTCAATCAAACGTGTCGCAACGCCGCCGGACAGTCGAATTAATTTCCTTGCTCGCAGGGACACGTTAATCCGCGCCGTAATTATGGAGCTGCGAATAAATTGAATCCCGCACGGCGTGAGTAACGCGAGTGCATTGTTCGGATCGGTTACGCTGGGAACGCGTCGATCACCGTTCAAGTTTCCCGTGGAACGTTCTGAAACCTGTAAAACTGTCGACGGAGCATCGTAAATCAGCGCAAACAAATGGTCACCGCGAAGAATGCAACGCGACGGGTCTCCACTTACAAAACGCGAAACATTGACGCGCGCACGCGATCACACGGCCGGCGAGTTATAAATGATCGAACGCGTTGCTTCTGTTTTTAACGGGCCGATACACGACGCCGCGGCGGTGTCGTATCGGATTCCCACTGTTAAAACTTCGCCTCCCGCCGTTTTCAGCTCGGATTGCGAAGCATTCGACAAACCGTTCCGCGCGACGCGGCGCGGCCAGATACGTCGAGCTGAAATCCGCTTTTTCTTGAGACCGCATTTTTTTCATCGACTGGCTACATACTTCGGGCCTGGACTTTTTTTTACAGAGACGAACGCGATGAGAACGTTTGTTCTCATTTAATGTACACCAGAGTTGGGCATTGCTCGAATCGTTTCGAGTGGATATTTATCTGAGATAATTGTTAGAGTTAGTTTCTTTTTTTGGTCGAATATTTTATTCGAATATAAATTCGTCATAAGTTATTATATCGGTGTGTTCAAATATATCACTCGAATAAGTTATTTTCTAATCGTATCATGTGGCCTTCGAATTGCATTCGAATCATGGCTTGTGGCCTATAAATTGCCTCCGAATCGTGTCATGTGGCCTCGGAATTTCCTTCGAATCGTAGCTTGTGGTCTCCTAATTGCCTTCAAATCGTGACATATTGCTTCGGAATTGCCTTCGAATCGTATCATGTGGCCTTCGAATTGCCTTCGAATTGCATTCGAATCATGGCTTGTGGCCTATAAATTGCCTCCGAATCGTGTCATGTGGCCTCGGAATTTCCTTCGAATCGTAGCTTGTGGTCTCCTAATTGCCTTCAAATCGTGACATATTGCTTCGGAATTGCCTTCGAATCGTTCCTTGTGGTCTCCTAATTGCCTTCGTATCGTGTCATGTGGCCTCGGAATTTCCTTCGAGCTGAAATCCGCTTTTTCTTAAGACCGCATTTTTTTAATTTTAATATTTTATTCGAATATAAATTCGTCATAAATTATTCTATTTGTGTATTCGAATATATCATTCGAATGAGTTATTTTCCGTTCGAATTCCTATGCGAATAAATTCTGATTCTAATATAACATCTTATTCGAGTAGATTTTTATCTAGATAAATATGTATTTGATTGAATATTTATTTGACGGTGTCAAATAAAACTTGATTCGTTAAAATAACATTTATTCGACTCTAATAAAAATAACATTTTGGCCAATTTTAATGTGTACTAGTTCCAAAAAACGAAACATCTGTTTGCAAGCATTTTCTGTCGGAGACAGTAAAAATGGTTCAACGTATAACCGCAGAAACAACGACGGATCTCAGAGTCCCAGATCTACCAAGAAACATAATTAAAACGAAACTTCGAATTCCTCACGCAGACCACGTACAGAGAAACGTCTCGGAGTGGTATCACGAAGACAGGACTCATCCCCGAGCTTATGGCTGAATCTCTGGGCATCG